AAACATAGTAATTTACAAAACTTATTAAATTATTTCACAACGTATAATGAATTATTTTTATTTAAAGGTGGACATATAGAAAAAAAAAATCTTTTTAAAAACTGGAACTACAATTATTTAGACATCGAACTTTTTAGGTTGGATAATATTAAAATATTGTTATTACCACAAATATTTTAAAAAGCATTGTTCTTTTTGCGATATTCTATCTTACGAACAATTCTTAATTAAACAAAAAATAGATATATTCAAAATCAATACATTGTATGGGTAGGTATTTAATAAATAAGTAACAAATATAATTTAAATAATTATTATCAATATATTGAACTTTTTCCCTATTTTACTTTGTTTTATTGTAATATTATTATTTTAGGTTGTCGTGTTTTAAATTTATTCAGATAATACAACAAAGAAAATTGCAAATATATATTAATAATTCTCAACCACATCTGATATTAGTATAAATTGTAAAAATTATTATCGAAAATTAAGTTTATATGAAGCAATGAAATGCACCGAAAATCTTTTCTTAAGAAATGAATTGAACAGTTTCCTAAATATTATAATTATTTATAAAATTAATTTACTGGAGAAATTTCTGATCTGAAAATAATTTATATCCTGAAAAATTAATTTTAAAATTATTACATGCAGAAATGTCTTGGTTTAGATAAACTGAAGGAAAAAGTGGATACAAATAAACTGTAATATAAAAATAAAAACCTTTTCAAAATAATTTCAGTGTTATATTATTTCAAATTGTCATGTACTCGAATATTAAGACAAATAATCATCTAGAAAATAATTAATTCTAGTATTGCTAATAAAACGAATACTCGACAAATTATATGCAATCTTAATTTATAAAATATCAGAAATTAGACCAAGAATATGTCATGTTTTCGATAAAGTGAATGAAAAATCTGGAAAAGCTTAAATAAAATAAACTTATTTAATCACAATTGTCATGTTTTAATTTTCTCGGATCTATAAAATAATNCCCTTGTATTTTCTAAAAAATAAATACATATTGCACAATTTTCATATTTTAACATATTTTGGATTAATTAATATTTTATTATAACCGCACTATGTATCTTATTACAAATTTCTATACTACATGCGAAAAAAAAGATTGCTATTGTATATTCGAATTTTAGTGGCGGAGTGGAATCTCTGTATTGTCAGATTCCAAAAAGCCAGATTCGCGCATGCGCTTTACAGAGCACCGACCTCACCCGGTTTAGCTGGTGGAAGCCTACGACCTTGGGTAGAAGTTTCACACATATAACGATTCCAATTCTATCAAGGACCGGTTCTGGGCTGTTAGCCGCCTGCCCACTAGATATTTCGATTACGTGAATAACGAGTAGATTTATAACTTACCAGTAAATTCTTACCGGTTGAATTATATTTTTACGATAGTTCTGTATAGTTGACAGGAGTTTAAAAAAATCCATTAAAATATTTGATATATTTATTCCGCTCTACGATTTTATATTACTCACGGATTTCGATGTTAAACCAGTGATATTACGATTTTGTACATCCCATGTTTAAGGGGATGTAGAAAAATCGTGTACAATTATTGTATAATGTTAAAAAATTAACCGTTACTTTGACAGCGTCATTTACAACTAAATTTAATGAACGAGAGAGATGCACGAGGTACAGAAAAGGCTCTAGAATTTATTTTCCTTAAATTTACGATTTATGTATCCGTTTGACATAAAAATTCGTCTTTCCACTTTTTCCCGAGACTACAAATATTCGAGTACAAAGTAACTGGTTTCGACTTATTTGTACTTAAGTAGTAGTTAAATAATTAAGCGATTAGGGAATTGGGGACGTAAACAAAATCCTGATGAAAGAGCCGGAATAATACTTAAACAAAAGCTTAACCGAATCAATCTATAGCCAAGTACAGTGGGGACTGATTTCTTTGAAATACTGTATTAGATGTAATAAAGACAGAAATTTTTCCAGTTCGACGAGAGTGACCGAAAAGTTGTAAATTTTGGAAATTTCCATGAACAACACCTGGTCCTAAAACGAATTAGTTAGAAAACAAAAGACGGACAATCTATTAAGTTTAACGTATTTAGATTTTTACAGCTATGATGAGAAACGTTTAAAATTTACAACAACCCTGTCGCGTCCTTTGAGATATACTAGTGATACGACAAAAG